ATGCACGAGTCTCATACTGAGATATGTCATTCGTTCATTTTTAAAAGCAATAGTCTCAGTGCTTTGAACAAGAAGGGACTGAAATAATCAGGAGTTGAAACAGGGGATGACCACGAACACCAGTGAGCTGGAGTTTGATCCCTGTCAGCAACCAGTATCAGGGAACAAGTGTCCATCTCCAGCGTGATAGTCCTCTCCTGGGCCCCCGTCAGTCTGTCCCCGTTTCTGATAAATGGGAGGTGGCAGTCCCTTTAGACAAGAACTACATGGAAATCTTTTCTTAGTGAAATAGTGACTGTTAAGGGCTTAAGAGAAAAAAAAGTATTCCAGCAAAATGCATGTGCAGAGCAACATGAAAGCATGCAGGGAGGCAACAGGTATATAGGCAAGCAGGCCACTATATGTAGCTCCATGCCATATTCCCTAGGAAAGGAAAAACATTTCCAGTTTCATTCTGCATCTGCACCCAGGACTGCCAGGCTGCTATCCTCTATTTCTGCCTAAACAGCGGCTGCCTGATTTCTCGGCAGTAGGGATGAGGTTTGGAAGTCAGCAGTGGGGCTACTACGCTGGCCATCGCACATCAAAGGGAAGGAAGCAAGCTGGCAGCGCTTCGCACGGCTTGAAACCTCCCACGGTGCTCCTGCTCAAGAGAGCTTATTTAATTTAAAAAACAAACAGAATGTATACTGGCAAGAGCGCTCATTTACAGATATGTATTGCATCTCTGAGAGGCCCTAGAGGGAAGGGGGAGCACACGCAGATCTGGTTTTTTCCTAGGCAGGCACAGATTTACTGGAAATAAAAGATTGCAGCCTGCTCCCCTCCTGCACATTTGTGAGGTTTGGCGCCGCAGCACGTTCACTCTCATGTCAGATGCTGTGGTAGCGGCTGTGCAGACACATCCATCCGTCCAGTCAGGACTGTGTCCCGTTCCTCCGTGCCCCAGCTGCTTGTGTTAAAAACATCCAGTCTCATTTTGCCCTGTGAACCTCCCTCGCCCTCGTGCATCTGTATCAAGACGCTGGGATTGCAGCAGGCACTTCCCAGGATGTGGTTTGGTTAGGCACTGTCCTTTCTACTGTATTAAGATCTAATACGAGATAAAGCGGTGGTGTAAAGACAGTCAAAACAGTTTAAAAGCAATGGAAATAAATGTATACCGTTTTCCACTACAGTTTTGAACGTACACTGTAACTACCTTCATTTTCTTGTAGGAAGGACCTAAGGAAATAGTATAACTCCATATAAGGAACGCTTCTCCTTGCTTTGAGATCCCACAGAAAACTGTAGGTTTGATGGGCTGTTGCATTCTGACAATTTTTGATCCATCTGCCAGAATACCTGGTACTGAAGAGTAACAAATCAGTGTAGCTCTGCTTGATGGATAGAGGGGGTTCTTGTTTCAGTTCAGAGTTGAATTGACTTGATTGCAATGAATTGTTGCAGATCTTTGTGAAACCCTTGGCATAAACACGAAAAAAAACCCCTACACTGCATGCATAACAGTCAACTCTGGTTTTACATTTAAAAAAACTGCAGCTATGCTGAATAAAAGCAAATCTGTCACTTAATGCAAAGCAAATACTGAGCGTTATTCTTAGCCAAAGAAATGCATTATACTGTTAGTACCAATAGTGGACTCATCTACGTTATGGAGCCAGAGTTGCTGGAGTCTCTTCACAGTTCTGCCAGTACACTGCGTGGCCTTGGAAGAGGTAAAGACCTTGAACAACTTCTCTGTACCTTAGTTTTCCCCGAGGGAAAAGTGGAGATACTTCCCTGTTCAGAAAGGGGAATTGCTTTCTATTCAGTGCTTTAAAAACCGTGGCTTTATAGCGTGAGAAGTAAAAGCTCTTTCAGTTGCTTTGGGTTTATTTTCTAGTAGCACCGAGTGGATTGATCACCGCTGTATATTGATTCAGTGCAAAAAAAATGAGTAAAACAGGAATATTGTGGAGACACGGTTATATGCAATATAGAAACCTGCCCTGCTTTAAACTGGTTTGGTTAAATCTATCCAAAAAATCTGGACAAAAAGACATTTTGGCTTATCTCAGCTCAATTAGGAATAGATTGAAGCTAAAGAAAATTAAAACTACTGTTCAAACCGAGGCAAAGCCATGTGCAGGCAAGCCTGTAAGAAACCACATGGACACCATTCTGCAAGCCTTGTAACAAGCTTTTGAGGGCTAAAGCTGTCATCTTCACCTTTTCAATTCTGAGCTCTTATGTTCTTTCTTCCTAAATCCAGAAAGAATACACCAAGAACAATTCAGCTCACCTGTGTCATTACGGAGGATTAAGGAGCAAAGAGTGTAAATCATTCCTTAATTAGAAGTTGAGGGGAACGGGGTGGGGGCATCATTAGGCAAACAAAGCAAAGCACCTAGTACAATAGGTGGTAAGTAGGCTATTAGTCTCTGCTAAGTACTTCTGCTTTAGCTGGAACCAGGAAAAGCACTTTAGGGGAGAAAAAAGGGATTTAGCACGAACATATCCCTTCTATCTAAAGATGTGCTAAACTCAGTGGCAAGGCCCCTCAAATTAGTAAAGGGATAGAATTTACATAAAAAATACTCTGTGCTTTTTCCTCAGTCCCCACGAGTTGATCTGATTTTAATGCAGATGCTAATTGAGACCAAGGTAATCCGAGTTTACAATGGTGCTTGATGGAAGATGCTAAGCAAATGGTTCTTTGAAAAACCGCTCTGCAGCCCTTGGAGTGCAACAAATTGGCTACTTCTTGTTTTCCCTTGCAGTTTTGAGAAGAAACACTGAACCCTTGAAATACTTGACCTGGCTTTGTTGCCGCAAACATTAGTTTTAACTATATAGAAAATACTGTGATAGGGATCCAGAAAATGCAGTTGTTCCCATACGAGCTTTGCCAGTGGGCACCTGCTCAGTTAAGCCCTTTTTTTGTTGTTGTTGTTTCTCAGTTTTTCAGTTGTGGAATACACGGAGGAAGGTGGGGGAGAGGAAGGTATGCTGACTCCAAACAGTCTGCTAATCCTTGCCAGGGAGCAATTAAGGCATCATTCACAAAACCATCTAGCTTTTCTGTTTCTCACTTCTGATCAATTCTTTTTCCGTTTAATTCTTTAGGGTTACACCTGAACCTCTCGACCCTTTTCAGTTTTATGGTATCAGGAAGGCTATTTCTCTGGTTTCTTATTTAATTTAAAACCTTATCCTGAAGCTGCCTCCTGGAGAGCTTTCAGTTTCTGTTGAAGTTGACAGGAGGTCTCTATACATTACAGCTTGAGGCTTAAGTGTACTGACTGGCAGGTCGTATATTCCTGTTCAGAAAATCTACAGCAGAGAATAATCGTGTTTTAGTAAAGGAGAGACCAGCTGATAAAACCACCTATTCTCCATGTCTAATGCCCCAGTCTGCTAAGCATAAAATACATCTTCCTAACAGCATGGATGTGACACGAGTTGCTCTGTATTTCCCAGAACAAAGAGCATCAGGAAAGATTTTGTTCATTTGTCTCGGAACTGACACGGGTTTTTGTCAAGAAGTACTATCAAAATTGGACATTTAACCAGATAAACTACTCCATTCAGCCTCAGATTTTCCTAAGCCAACTGTAAACAGTCACTTTATGAAAGGGAAGCCGTTTTCTAAGTGCTTTCAGCAATTCAAGTTTAAAATCTAACTTTAAAAACCAGCATTCCAGCTGCCTGCCATAGTGTATTGGCATAGTTATCAATAAATCCCAGTGACCTTTCTCTGACTGTAACAAGGACAATGCTTTTAAATTCAAACTGGTGTATATCTGGAAGCCTTAACTTGCTACTTTTCAGTACTAAAACAAGTGTACAACACGAATCTCAGTATTTTGGGGAAGCGTTTCTTTTTAGGGTGTTCTGTTTTCATGCTTATACTCTTACTCCAGTTTTAAGAGGTCACAGCCCTGGGTCAGCTAAGTTTTTCTGTTTGATAGGCAGTACTAACACAGGAAAGGCATGTACTTCTTATACACATAAGGTTTTTAAGCCCGAGCCCCTGCTCCTACTGATAACACCTGTGGAGTCCTTTTAACATGCCTTCACAGTATAATCACTCATGTTTCTGTGCTGTGAGGAGGTGTTAAAACGCTCCAGCAGCGAGTAGTATATTTTGACAACTTCTTCCTATCAGTGTCCTGCTGTGAAGGGGATGGCTGCAGTCAGGCAGCATGCATCTTAACAAGGAGTCAAAGTAGGCAAGTTTTTCCAGCATATTCTCGGAAAAGTGATTGGAATCTTATTTTGTTCTTACCTTACCCTGTAATTCTTCATCCATTTGAAGTGTCCAGTTATGTAAAAAAAGAAAAAAAGACCACTAAGCCACTGGAAGAGAGGAAGCAACACATAAATTGTTTTTATTATCTTCCCCCAATATCTGTACTAAACGTACATTTTACTGAAATTAGGGCTAGAAGTTGCTCCTTAAGCAGCACCACTTAAGTGACAGTTCATCAGGGGCCGGTGAGTCACAGGCCATGTTTTACCATCCTCTATCAGTCTACCAGTAGAAGTGTGCAGATTAAACACAGTCTTCCTGTGCTTTACAGGCTGTCGAGTGTCCACAGTTAATAACTCCACTAAGGCACCTCCCTGTCCTAAGTTGCTGAGAAGTGACACAGCTACAGAAACTGAAACCAAGTCCTCTGACATGTCCCCTAGAGCATGGTAGGCAGCTTGAAAGGACCAGGGAAGGGTGAAACTCGGTTCTACAGTTGCAGTCATTTTTGAACAGGTATATAGGCCTCAGAATCTTGCCTTTTTCAATAGCATTAAAATAATACAAGTTAAAAACCCGAAGAACCTAAAAGAAGTTCTAAAACATCATCTTCAGAGCTGTAAAAAGCCAGAATTGATGCACTTCCTAATAGCATCAAACATCCCAAAGTCCTCGTTTCAGTCCCAAAGAACTATTTATAATAGTGAAGTAGCATCCAGTTCAGGCTGTATGCTGCTGTGTCATCTTCTCAGACATGAACTCCCGACTACATCATGTGGTCCCCCTGTGTTACCCCAAGAGGGGATGCGTTAGCACTGCGTCCATAAATTGTTCTTTTAAGGAAAGGTGCTGGAGCCATTATTGCCGTATGATCAGTTGGTATTCTGTGGTTCGCATGTGAAGGGTGCAAGAGTTGTCCACTGGTGGGTGGAGGACTTAAGAACCGGGCATCTTCAGCCAACCCAATAATAGGAAGGGATGGAGGTAGAGTCATGCAGATGTTGCTAGTCTGAGGACCACTGCTCAGTGAGCTTCTGGTGGCAGAACTGGAACTGGAGAGGCGAGAAGGAAGATCAGGCTCTAGCAGCCAAGCCTGGCCAGGCGCAAGTCCACTTTGCTGCCCCTCGTCCTGGGATTTCAAGCATTTGCAGCAGCAAATTCCAACACAGGCGCCACCAACAACAAATGCCACAAATACAGAGCCAACAAGAAGGAATGGCAGGTACACGGGCACTGAAAATGGAAGAGCGACATTAGCCAACCATTCATTCATGGGCTGTTCGAGTTCCTATTCTGCTCTTCATTCCTTAAGGCATGCATGCACCAGGGAGCAGGCCAGAGCAGTTTTACTCTCAACTCTTCTCTTGCTGCAGCAAGAAGATCAGAAACTGGCAATTGCTATGGCAGGCTCATTTGAAAAAGCCTAAAGTACAGAGGATCGGACCAGTCGGTCCTATAGCCTCTGCCATTAATATCCATGCAAGAGCTCTTCCAGGACTTGGATGTCACAGCTACTGTTCACTTGTACATGTTTAAGTAGAAATTTAGGCTTGTAACTGAGTTTCAGCATACAGTTAGTACCTGAACTGCTGTTGGGTTGCCTATGGAATCTGGGTTTGAGGGCTACAAGCATTTTTACAGGCCAGAAATTGAGTCCAAATGCATTACTTAGAGGCATCCACATGCATTAACAGAGCAGGCTAGCAACACCCATGTTCCACCAGGGATATAAACATCAGAGGTGTTACAAGATTACTTTGGTAGTAGCTTAGAGGCTTTTCTAAGAGTAGGATTGATGGAAAAGTCTTTTGAGTGAAGCCCCAGGTTATCCCCTCTTGCCAGTGAAGGGAGCTGAGCGGCTCTGGCCCATGCAGCCACCCAGATAAGCACGGTGCCAGGCTCCACACCTCCCCGCTTGCAGTGGTTACGGCTTGGAGCTCCGAAGGGCAGAGAAACAAAGGAAGAAGGATCTGGCTGATGCCACCAAGAGAAGGTTGCTACAGGGGATGCAAAGAAGCAAGCACATCTGAGATGTGTCCCCCCCCCCGCAGCTGCTG